TTCCAAGCGCATCAATCTTGTGCGCATTTCATTCAATTTGAAAAACCATGTTCCGAAATGTTGTCTTCAACTTAATCTTTCCATCTAATTCGTGGTCATACCCTTTTGCGTAAACCATCAGTTGGCTCGCTTTTATATGCCTTTTGAGTAATTATCATTCATTCGCACAACATGGCCTAGCCACCGTAGTCGCTGCAGCTCGATACGATTGACTGTGTCGATTTCCTTCTATAGATTGTAAAGCTCATGGATCATTCGATGCCGATATTCACCAATATTCAACTTATGCCAATATTGATAGTTTTTTGGTACGCAAACCCATTAGAATTCAAATATTAAATAATTTTTTATAAGAATGTGTGCTAAACAATGCGAACCCAACATACCAAATTTCAACCAACATTACCCAAGATGAGACTAACAATAAATAATAATAACTAAACTTAGGATCCTGGTCCAATTGCTGGTAAGAGTTAACAGCAAATAATTAATCATTCCATTACCCAAAAAATTGACATATGGCGAATTTGTCCTTTTGGGTTTTTAATAACTTCGCCAAGAGTAGATGATTATTTTTAGTAGATGATTGATCTCCTGCTGCCTTTCAAATGTAGATGACAGCACCATAATCTAGGGCTGTCATCTACATTTTCCTAGAAACAACACCTCCTTAACTATTTGCAGTGGTTGTAGTCCTTGCTTATTTATAGTTGCAATTTTTCTCTACAAAGCGCTACTACTAACCATCGACCCACTATCACGACTTATTCCCATATAACGGCTCATTTTCATTATTCTGGCATATTTTTAACTGAGTTGACTTTAATTTGAGCCTACCAGGAGCCTACCAGGTTCTGAAACATATTTTTTATAATATTTATGAGTTTGGTATACGAAAACTTTCATGGTTATCTTCAAATTACTAATTATTTTCATCTTCATTATATTCACCAATTGCATCTATTTAATTGAAAGCCTTTTCATGTTGACACATGTCAATGTTATGAAATGTGGACTTTGACCTGCTGTAGCCTTTCGTAGGCAATGCCGCTGCCATCTACATTTCCCTAAAAGCAACAAATCCTTAAATATTTGAACAGGTTGGAGTTCTTGCTTGTTCAGTGTTGCAATTTTTCTCTACGCGGCGCTATTACTAACTACCGCTCATTTTCGTTATTCTGACATATTTTTTACTGAGTTGACTTTAACTTCATGTTAAAGGTGTAGGTATTTTAAAGCCCGTCGGAACTTTTTCCAGCCGAAATTACTATTTTTCAGCATATGATTTTTAAGTTCGCCTCATACTGCAGCTTGAAAAATAATTACTATATCAGCATACATGTTTGTAGGATCGTTGGATAGAAGAGTTTTGAAATTTTGCACATATATTGCTACTACTTTTTGGATGTTTGGTATTGAATATATCGGCCTCCTTTGGTGATCACTGAGTAGAAAATCTCCCTACTACAAATTATAAATAATGATCCAAGTTTGCGGGTAGGCCCTATATAATGGTATTTCGTATTTTGGAAGGATAATCATTGAAAATCTCCCTACGAAAAATTTTAAATATTGGTCCAATTTTTCGGGTAGCTTCTATATAATGATATCACCACCTTTATTCGGTAATTTTGACTTGATACCAACAATTGTCAATATCGGTATACGTTTTCGTACATATATCTTGTATCGACACATTTTAGTAATGATGGCTGTAATTTGTAATTTATACATTAAATTTATACCTTTCACCATACTGTGGTACATGGTATTATGTTTTTTCCGCATGGTTCCTTTTGAGAATATTCATAAAATCACTTTCTAAGTCGATTTATGCATGGCCGTCCGTCCATCTGTCTGTCCATGTTAAATTGAATTCGTCCGATTTTAGGAAAATAGCGCTTCAAAGTCCCTATATAGTCTACGATTTGCACGAAATTTGGCATAGCGTACTGAATTCATTATGTAATGATAAGTGGTGAGTTTCGGGAAAATCGGGCCAGATTTAGATATAGCTCCCATATATATTTTCGTTCGATTTTATGTAAATGGTGCATCAAAGTCCATATATATCTTTCGATTTCCACGAAATTTGGTATAGCGTACTGAATTGAGTCTCGAATGATGTGTGGTAAGTTTCGGAAAAATCGGTTCAGATTTCGATGTAGCTCCCACATACTCATAAATACACGATGTTACATAAATGGTGCACCAAACTCCAAATGTTTTATGGCTAATAGAGGGTGTATACACTTTGACACGGTTAAACTGGTTGTACACCCCATGTCCGATTAACACGAAATTTTTCACAACGTTTCAAATGGAGACTTGAATGACGTCATTTCATTTTGTGGAAATTGGTACAGATGCAGCCATAGCTTCCATATGTATTTCGATTGAAATTAAATTTTTAACAGTGCAGCGTACCGAATAGCGTATATTAATTTTGCTATAAAACGTTTTCTATAAATTTGTCCCATGAAATCTGCCCGAAAGAAATTGTATTTATAATAGGTTATATAGGTATTATATAGTCGGACCATTCTGACTTTACTACTTTCATTACTGGTTTTAATTATGGAATTTTTAATTGTCCATTTTTTTAAAATAAGTATTAAGACTTTTGATAAAATGTTGATCAGAATATTTTGGTGGGCAACAGCTTCATTATAAATTATCTAAGAATTCTCAATTAAATCGAAAATTACAAAACAATAATTTAAAAATGTATTTATCAAGTTTTTTTTGTATTATGAGTTGTAATTTTATTTATGTATATAATTTGTTTTTTTTTTTATTCAAATAGCATATATTGAGAGTATGACACTGAAGATGTTACTACGATTAAGTAATCTCTGAATATGCTGAATTAATTTTAGTAATTTATAAAAACAAAAATATTTAATTCTACATATCAATGTTGATAAAAAAAATGATTATTGTTGGTTTGGCATATCCCTCCATATAAGGGCAGCGACTCATTGTCAGTATTTTTGAAGTTATAACGCATTTTTTCATAGTATTGTTTATTCAACTTTTCTCATCGAAGTGACTATAATATGGCATATAAGATTCCTGATGAATGAAAATATTCTTTACATAAATTCTTCAATATAGGTATTTTTCTTTTTAAATAGCCCACATACAAATGTACCGTTAAATTTTCACTTCGACAATTTTCCAACCTGAGCGTATGTAAATTGAAACATTACTTTTGTAAGAGCATGGACGTAATGCAATAACATAGTCCCCATATTAAGGTCCCGACCGATTCAAGGAATTTGAATGTCCTCGCAGCTCGCTCAAACTTAACGACTGTTTCACTTACTTGTTCATTAATTCTCGAGTGATTTTTACCTTACTTCTTCATTTCATTTCGCTTCAATTAAAAATAATTATAATACCATTTCATTTCTTCTCTTGCCTAAAAGTATACTTTAGATTTTAAATCATATTTCCTCTATGAAAATGTTTAATTCTAAGAAAAGAGAAGTTCCATGCAATGTTACTCTTAACTCATCACCACAAACAACAGGTATTACTCTGACAAGAAAAAAATTTCCCAAACAAGTTGTGGCTTAAACAAGAGAGTGTTGTTGTTGTTCTCTCACTCTCTCGCCCAAGTGTTTGGTGGGCAAATGCCTAACAACACAAAACCCCTTTTTTATGTTGGAGGGAATTTTTACCTGTTGTCCAGCCAGGTGAGAATAGTGTTTAACATGCTCTTAAGTTAAACAGACGTTGTGGCGCAAAATTCGTACGAAGACACGAACAACGAGTGTGCATTGTGGTTTAAAAGAAAATAAACAAAAAATGTGTGAATAACAAATTATTGAAATAAAGGCAAATATAAAAAATAAACGAATTGAATGCGAGATTACTGAATTTTATAAATAAAAATCGTAATACCGATATTACAAAAATATGGAATTTAATGAGATTGTGTGTATGTGTTACCAATTAAATCTCAGCCATGGTAAACTGTTGGCTGTCAAATCATAAGTTATGATGATATTTAACTCTAAACTGATTTCTGTCTGTGTGAGTGTGTAATAGAGCGCGACTCTTCTGCCGTGTCTTGAGACATCTTCTAGTGTGAAAATAGATACGAATAATAACAACAACAAAAATCACACAATACATAAAACGTAAATATTTAAACTTTTGACATTTGAAGTCAAAAAAAGATCAAAATGTAATTATAATTATTTATGACAAAGAAAAAATTGTGGATAACAAATTTTGTGGAATTAAAAAAACAATAACAAAATAAAAAAGTGCTATTTATGTGACAAAGTGTTTTAATTTATTAAAAAAATAATTTTGCACCTTACCTTAAAATCGATTTTATGACCAGTTGCGAGTGTGTGTTTTTATTCTGCAAGGGCATTTAAGTAAATAAGGGAAGACCTCCTCATAAATTTGTGCAAAAAAGCAGGTGCATTTTTCAATACGCATCGAAGTGGTTCCTCCAAAAATATAACATATGTGTTGAAAACAAACAACTATACAAAAAATTGTTTTTTCGTAACGATAATAATAAAAGAAGCGGCTTTTGCAACCCTTACACTGAGGACTTAACTCAAGTGCAGCAATAAAAAATAACTTTTAAACAAAGCCTTACAAAAGAAAAAAAACAAACCAGGACGGGGGATGTTCCCTGCTAAAAAAGAAAATAACGTCTGCTTTTTTGGATTCATGCAAGAAAAGAAAAAATAAAACAAAGAAAAGAAGGCAAAAAAGTGTATTTACCCAAAAAAAAAAAAAAAACATAACTCATACCCCAAATGCATTTAACTGCTATCGATTGGTTTTGCAAAGCTTAAAATGTTTGCAATCAAGCATAGTACAACAACCACAGCAAAAATAAATATAACTATATAAATAAAAGCAAAATAAATTTAATTACAACAATAACAACCCCTTAACAAATTGTCTACAATTGTGCCAGAATTTTATACTACACCCTGAAATAATTAGCAAATAACGAAAATCACATAATGGCTACAATGGATACCGTAGCCATTAAAACTGCACCACCCCATGCGCCTTTGGCCTCTGCACACCATCACCATCAACCACACCAGCCCCATTTGAAACATTCCAAACATAGTTTGGCTCGTACCCATAGCAGTAGTAGTGGTGGTGGTGGCAGCACCAGCAGCAGTACAGCCAATAGTGTTAACCCCAACAATAATTCCAGTTCGACAACGAAATCTGTTGTTGCTGCAGCCACCGTCAATGATGCCATCTACAATAAATCAAGTATTGGCGCATTTTTCCAAACTTGCAAGGTAAGATTGCATACATCAGTAGATGCTTAGATATGTATATGGAAGGCAGTGGCGTTGCCTTAAGAATTACTTAAAATAATTTTGTGTAGATTTGTAATTTTCAACATTGAAAATGGTGACTTAAAAATAAGTTAAAAAGTCTTTAATACCCTTCGACATATGGTGTCCGTTTAAAATTCCTTAAATCGGTCGGGACCTTTATATAGAGGGACTATGTTTTTGCCTTATTTGGTAGTTTATTGTCCATGCTCTAAAAAAAGTTTCAAATTACAAACACTCAGGTTATATAACTGGGTTACTATCAAATTTAAACATTTATATAAAATATTATAACGTAAACAATATTTCAATTCTAGTTTTTAACAACAATTGTTAAAAATATGGCCATTAACCTATATTGAAAAATTTCTGGAAAAAACGTTTTTTATATTGACCTGAAATCCGACATGCCAAATTGTAGCCAATGTGATGAGAAAATTCGAGTATAATTTATTAATACCAAAAAGGGGCGGGACCTTTATATGGTGGCTATATCAAAACTTGGTTCCATATATAAAAAAAAAATCTTCAAAAAATTTGTCTTATCCCGAAATGTCAGATTATTTTACGGCGGATGTGTCAAAACATCGACCTGAATCGATTAGTCTTCAAGAACCCTATATACAAATTTCACTCATATCGGCCGGCAAATCCTGCTAAATCATTCAAAATAACGGCAGCTACCCTAAAAAGTGCACCGATATATACCATATTTCAAATCGAATGTCAAATTTAATAAATTCCGACCACATTTATAAAATTTAAAAAAAAAATAGGAAACCATTTTCTTCCATGTGGTGAAGCAGAAAAATGAATGAAATTTTATTACTTTGGATCGAGTGTAAAAATAGCTTAAATCCATAGGACTTCCAGGAGGACCTATGGACAATCATTAAAGAAATACTACGATGACGCATTTTATTCCCCGAAAATACGCAATGGTATTCAAAATATCTTAAATTGGGGACGAACTTATAGGACCTACTTTGGAAGTTTTTTTTTAACGACTTATTTTGTGCTCTACGAACAGGACCTTCTTTGGAAAAAATTTCAAGGTCTTAGTTAAGGCTCCAAGGGCTGAAAAATTAACATAAGATCTTCAAAATACGGAAAATGGGGCTGTAACTTATATGTTGTCTCTCTTCTAGGGATATACAATTTGGAGACTTTTGATACATTTTTGTTTTGTTGTATATATCGGCTTCCACTAGCAAGCTTACAGGGCCATATCCTTCATATTGCATTTTACATTATGCATGGATTTACATTAACGAGGATTTACATAGCCTCACGAATTATATTTTTATGAGGTATTGAATTATGGTGAAGGGTATAATAATTGCGGTCCACACTATCTGAATATGAAGCCAACAGATCATTTGATTTGATCCAAACTTCGGACATAATACAAAGTCTGCAGACAAATTACACTATGGCACAAAGTGGAGGTCATGGTGTGGGGGTATCTGCTACCTTCCTCACAAAATGTCAACAAAACGTTATGTCCTAAGAAAAGATCACAATTTTGAAATTTAAGTATGAAGCGAACGGGTTATCCGATTTGATTTGACACAAAGTGGAGATAACCTCCTCAGGGGGTATCTGGTACGTCCCTCACGAAATGCCAACAAAACTTTATGTCCTAACAGAAGATCATAATTTTGAAATTTGAATATGAACCGAACGGGTTTTTCGATATGATAAAAAATTTTGGACATTAAATAAAATTTTGAAGCAAAAATCTCTGGCGTTATCAAGGTTAATATACTCGTCAAGGGACTTGTATTCTCATAAAGACCACCCACAGACCAAGAATTCAATTTTGTATCACCATTTCATCAGTAGGCATGAGGCATACTCTCCTTCTTCAAATTCATTACGATTAGGTTGTATCAAAAATTATATTATCTACGGCTATGTTGTATTTATTCCTCGGTCATATTGAAAAATCATTTTCCCCCTAATAATACCAAAAATATTTCAGCTACGCTCATGTAATATTTTAAATTAAATTTGCTATGTTTAATACATTTGGCAAAGGATTTATGCTATGCTATGCCGTTTTCTATAAGCTATTAAAACACAGATGTATTTGTTTTTTTTTTCTTTTTCTTTTTTTTTTTTTTTTTTTTTGAGATCTGAGCTATGTATAGCTCAGAGGCAATAATTTTGTGTATTTTCAATAACACAATTGTTCAAAGGAATTTTCATTGGAATTTGTTGTTGTATTTTTTTTCTTTCAAAATATTTGATTTTGAAACGTAATTAAGTAAGAATGATTTAGCTTTTTTATTTAAGTTTCTATTAAGGAAAAACGAGATTTGGTTAAAACAAATTTGGTTTTTTTCTGTATATGCATCATATTTGATGCGTTTAAAAGGAAGCATGATATCATACAATTTGTTTTTTTGGAAAGAATTTAAAAATAATGATACCTAAATAGGTTACTGGTAATATTAATTTTATATGGGATTTATAATTTTAACAGAATGCTGCTTTTTGTGATTTCTTTTCGAGAAGTTATTAGAATATCCCAATTAAAAAACCAGTAAGGAAAGTAGTAAAGTCGGACGGGGCCGACTATATTATACCCTTCACCACTTTGGGTATATTCAACAGATAGAATCCTAACAGACGTCGCATTTTTGAAGGACCATTAACATGAAACTAAACATGTCATTCTGCAACCTATACTAAATTTTGGTCAGATATAGAGTTGCTTCTTAAAATGGGACAAAATTATATAAATATCTTTAAAGCAAAATATCGAAATCTAAACCGATTTCATCGAAACTTTTCACATGTTAGGTTACACTTATATCAGTATGTTTTGAGCATTCGGCACTATTTTGAGTTCTTCATTTACTTATAAATCCAAACTTCGTGCAAATCGAAGGATATAAAGAGACGTTGGTGCACCATTTACATAAAATTGGCCGAAAATATATATTGGAACTATATCTAAATCTGAACCGATTTTCACGAAATTTAACACAAATTTCGTGCAAATCGGAGGATATACAGGGACTTTGGTGCACCATTTACATAAAATCGGTCGAAAATATATCTCGAAGCTATATCTAAATCTGAACCAATTTTCACGAAATTTAACACACATCTTTCTAGACTTCATTTAGTACGCTATGCCAAATTTCGTACAAATCGAAGGATTTATAGGGACTTTGGTGCACAATTTACATAAAATCGGACGAAAATATATATGGGAGCTACATCTAAATCTGAACCGATTTTCACGAAATTTAACACACATCATTCTAGACCTTATTGAGTATGCTATACCAAATTTCGTGCAAATCGAAAGATATATAGGGACTTTGTCACACCATTTACATAAAATCGGACGAAAATATATATGGGATCTATATCTAACTCTGAACCGATTTTCACGAAACTTGGCACACATCATTCTAGACCTAGTTCAGTAGGCTGTACCAAATTTCGTGCAAATCGAAAAATATTTAGGGTTTTTGGTATCTCATTTACCTTATATCGGACGACAATATATGTGGGAGCTATATCTAAATCTGAACCGATTTTCACGAAACTTGGCACACATCATTCTAGGCCTAGTTCAGTAGGTTGTACCAAATTTCGAGCAAATCGGAAGATATTAAGGGACTTTGGTACCTCAGTTACCTAAAATCGGGCGAAACTATATATGGGAGCTATATCTAAATCTGAACCGCTTTTCACGAAACTAGGCACACATCATTCTAGACTTAGTTCAGTAGGCTGTACCAAATTTCGTGCAAATCGAAAGATATTTAGGGACTTTGGTACCTCATTTACCTTAAATCGGGTGAAACTATATATGGGAGCTATATCTAAATCTGAACCGATTTTCACGAAACCTGGCACACATCATTCTAGACCTAGTTCAGTAGATTGTACCAAATTTCGTGCAAATCGAAAGATATTTAGGGACTTTGGTACCTCATTTACCTTAAATCGGACGAATATATATATGGGAGCTATATCTAAATCGGAACCGATTTTTTCCCAATTTCAATAAGGATCGTCCCTGGGCCAAACAAATGAGCTGTGCCAAATTTCATCCAATTCGAATCAAAAATGCGACAAGTACTTTGTTGACAATTTAACATGGACAGACGGACAGACGGACGGACGGACATGCATAAATCGATTCAGAAAGTGATTCTATGCATATTCTCAAAAGGAACCATGGGTCTATCTCGATTATTTTTGCGTGTTACAAACATATGCACAAAGACATAATACCCTGTACCACAGTGTGGTGAAGGGTATAAAAATACTATGGGAATTAATGAGGATCCGTTGTGAGATCCAAACTATATTCTTTGCTGCCTACCCTTTTGGTGAAAAATTAAATTTCCTCCCACTAATAAATCATTGTTTGTATAAAACAACAAACTGATATTGATCCGTAATATTTTTAATTAAAAAGAAATATTTTTTGAGGACAACTCTGCATTAAATTCTATACATAGAAAATCGATATTATTGTTTTTCTATTTTAAACATGTTTTCATGTCACCACCAGATTTTAGAACTTTCCCTTTTTTCCACTTACTATATTTCAAATGGAGTGCACTATTCTGAAGTCATTTATTTTACTCTGTCCAAAAATGTCATATTTTTCTGCCATAGGTCTTGTCTTTCACTTTTGCTAAAATATTCCCATTTAAAATGTCTGAACGTCTTTTAATTGCTTTAGAAGTTTGTTGCTTAAGTCTTTCTGTTCTCAACTCAGTAGTCAGTTGTCAAATTAATGGAAGTCTACTTAATAACCAACTATACGACACATATGAGTATCATTTGAGTTTTTAATGATTTCAAATTGTTTCTTTTCGAAATTTCCAAAAAAATAATTTCATAATTTTCGTTTGCAATTTAGATTTTTATCAAAAGCACATTAACCTTATTTGGAATTCTTAAAAGTAATTTGAACATTTATTTGT